GCGGGCGGCCGGGCCCTGCCGGCGCCCCTGTCCTCACCCCGGGCCCCGGCAGGGGGGCTGGGCCTGCCCGGGGGTTGGGGTCAGCCTCGCGCAGAGGCACGGGGAGTCCTGCTGGCCCTTAAAGCCGGGGGGTTTGCGCCCTCCACGCAGGGATTGGGGTCAGGAAGGAGTTGTGCCCCGCGGTTATGGGGGTCGCCTTTCTCCCTGCCGTCTGCCCCGCGTCCCTTCAGCAGGTTGGGTGGCAGGTGCGTGGTCAGGGCAGGGGCGATGGCAGGCTCGTGTCGCGTTTTGACTGGGGACGGTTTGGGTAGGGACGATGCAGCATTGAACTCGCCAGCCCAGCTCCTCTGCGATTTTGGAGCTCTGCGTTTCCCTGCCCTAACTTTTGCCTCTTCCTCATAGCTGGAGCCGTACATGGACGAGAACTTCGTTTCGAGAGCCTTCGCCACCATGGGAGAGCTTGTGCTGAGCGTGAAAATCATTCGCAATCGACTGACAGGGTAAGCGTTCGTGCACGCTTCCCGGTTGTTTGAGGACATGTCGCTGGTTTTCAGTTGCGCCGCTTGTTTAAAAAAAACCCTGCAGGAATCTTTTTGGCCCTTTCTGCGCTAGACTTTTTCCCCTGTCTCTTCTCCTCAGCTTCCAAACAACAGGGCACCTACAGTCCTGATAGCCAAGGAGGCAGCTGCTGTTGTTTTATCCACTGTGCTTTCCTAACAGTCAGTGCCATCCCAGGGGGGAGTGAATTGGGGTGACTGCCCTGGGCCCTGCATTTGGGGGGGTCCTGCAGAGCCAGGCGGAGCGGCCACGGCCCCTCCTGTAGGGCCCGCCTAGTGCTGGTGACTCTGTGCCGCCACCGCCGCCGGCTTCACATCTGGCTGCTCATCTCCCCCACTCCTCCCCACCACCAGCTGCTTCACATCCAGGCCCTGCACAGGCTAATTTGCCCCAAGCCCTGCACCCTGTTAGGGTTGTCTCTGCTAACAGGGTTATACCCCAAGGGGAGTTTTGGTCAACCCGTATGTTGCCCAGTGCAGGATGAAGACATCAGATGCCAATGGGGAATGCCAGCAATCTACTCTCATGGTACTACCAGTGAAGTTATACCAGTGATAGTAAGAATTGGAAATCTAAAGCAAAGAATTCTACTTCAAACCAGAGCCTTACATGGCACTTTTGAACTTTCTTAGAACAAGCAGAATGTAGTCCACAAATTGAAAATAAAATTAGGTGTCAGTTAACTTGCAAATAATCGGGGCTCAACACGACAATGATTGGATTCCACTGGAGAAATGTGTGTTTACTTAACCAAAAAGTATAGTCATTTTGGGGAGAAAAAGACTTCTTTTTTGATGGGATTGATGCAAAGTCTAGGATTTTTCCCCTGCTACTGGCTGTGTACCAGAACACAGCTGATATGAGCTTGTGTGATGCATGAAAGGGTCTTTTACTGGCAAGCATTTGCTATTTAGTAGCTCCTCTGTGAAAGCTGAAATCTACATCTAAAAAACTTAGTTTTGATGTCAAAATGACAACTGCAGCAAATAACTCACTCCCTGATTATAAGTCTTGCACTTAGGCAAATTTTTAAAACTTTCTCTTTCCTTTTCTCCATGGTCAGAATTCCTGCGGGCTATTGCTTTGTGGAATTTGCAGATCTGGCTACTGCAGAGAAATGTTTACACAAAATCAATGGAAAGCCGCTTCCTGGTGCCACACCAGTAAGTAAATTAACTAACTAGTAAGGGAGAGAGATTGGGACAGGATGAAGAAAGGGGGGTTCTGCAGTGAACAGTGATTAGGAACCAAGGTATTGACGAATAATCAGCTAAGTGGAAGTTTTTATTTTCTTAGGGGTCTACTGGGTATAATATTGCTAACAATTTTCTGATAAAATTCTATAGAAGAGTTGCACTAATTATTTAAGACACACTTTCAAAGTGAATAGAGAGATACAATTTACATACTGTACACTAATGCAACAGTTTTATTGCGTTGTTTCTGATCCTTTGCAGTGTAGCGTGTGGCAGATGAAGGCAGCAACAAGGAAAAAAGCAGTCTGCATATGCCTGCTTTGGTTCCCCTTGTAACCTGTTAATCATAGTCTGTGTGTAGCACTGCACTGGTATCTGTGTGATTGAAATGGAACTAAGGATTCAATAGGTTTGGGTTACTTTGGTTTGCCAAAGAAGATTTAAACCTGGATTCATTCTTAAGCCCTAGTAAACGGAAGGTATCCGGATCCATTTGAACTGGATGTGCTTACCAAAATTGCATACGAGCTAGATCCAAGTAAAAATCTTGGTACCTCCAAGTAAGATGCTTGGCTCCCAGTTGTAATTCCAAACCTGTGTTATGTATATTTGCTTTCTATACAGAACACAAGAGGAGTTAGATCCAAAATGTCCAGTACACTGAACAAGATGCTGCCTAAAGTCATTACACTCATCTTGCAGCCACCTAGAACTAGCCCATAGGAAACACTGAGGACAGGGGCTTGTCTCCAATTCTGCCTTTCTCTGAGGATTAGTTATGTCCTCCCATTTTGCACCTACAGCCTGGGACCCTCTCCTGGTATATGGGCACCTGCACTGTTCTTTCACATAGGTTTCCAGTTGTGCTTTACAAGAAAAATGTGAAAAGGTAGTAGTGATGGTGGCAATGTCCCCAGGTCTGTGACTGAATCTGTGCAGAAATCAAAAGGACTCTGCTTGCCTCTCTTCCTCTGTGTAAATGGAAATATTTTCATTATATATTTTTTGATCCAAACCATTGCAACAAAGGGTTAGGTTCAGGAATGGAATCTGGAATCTTGAGATGGCCATGGGTAGGGGTAGGTGCCATTGTGCAACAAGAAATTCAAGATTAATTTGACCAGCAAGAGAGCACAGGAGGGAGCATGGATCTTCAGGCTAGTAGTTAGGGCAGTCAGCTGGGATGGGGGAAGCCCTGGGTTCTGCTCTGTGTTCCTAGGATTGTTCTAGTGTTCAATAGAGAAACAGGCCTGGCGGCACAGACCAAAACCCAGGAATTCCCTCTTCCTGACGACTGGGCCTAGAGAGTCATGTTCCCTTTTGTGTTTTCTCTCTGACCTGCTGAATCTTGAATTCTGCACTGTACAGCATCAATAGGAGAGTTGGGTATGCCACATCCCTCACTCAGAATAACCTCTAGTCTAGAAGTTTAGGCACTTTCTTGGGAATAAGAATATGGATTTGAATGCCTTTGGGCTGAGAAAAGACTCCAACCTGCATCTCCCACTGTCTTCTATCCAATGATATATGAGAAGTACCTCTTCCTGTCTTGTGCAAAAGAAAGTGGCAGCCACCACTGCATTTGGTAGGAAGACAACTTCTGTAATTGTATGCTAGGTTGTTCGCAGGGACTTATACAGAATATCACCTAGTTTCTGAATCCTGTAGGGCTTCGGTATGAGCTGGGTAATAAGCTGCTCAAGACTGGAGCAGTTCTGGGTATGTGTAGAGGCCCAGCTCCCAGTGCGTGGAGAACTTTAAAGTAAAGTGCCTCTTAAGTTTAGGTGCCTCCTGAGGGGATTTTGAGGACTGAGAATTTTGGGCATCTAAATTCTGCCTAAGCCTCATCTGAATCTGAAACATGGAATATAGTGATTCAGTGTATAAAGTACCTGGCAGTGTTGTTATGTTTGAGGACTTGTTTTGATTTCCAATGTGTCACCCTCTGCGTGGTTAATTTTCCTATCAATTACAAATCTCAAAGTTTATGTACTATTATTCTACTGAAAAAATGATCCCACAACAATTGAAAATGTCATTTAATATTTGTTTTTGCCACTTCCATTTTCCTAATCTCTCTGGAGATGGGAAGATGGATGACCCTGATGTGTCACCAGGGCTTTGCTAGCTTTTTAGTATCTTTATTAAAATAATAATTAGTCCTAATCTTATGATGTAGCAAGGCAAAACTTCCTGTCCAAGGGAAAGATCCTTAATTGATGTAAATTGTCATAGGTCTGTTGATGTCAGTTCACACCAGCTGAGGATTTGATCCCAGATGCTTTAAGCTGCTGACCTGCTTGTGTTGACCATTTTACATTATTAGAAAAAGGTACAAAATGAGCCTTACTTACTGGCATTTTTTCTAATTGAGTTTCTAAACATTTTTTAATGTGAACCTGTGTGGTTTTCACATTGTTGTTTTATCCTTCTCCTTGTTGCAGGCAAAACGATTTAAACTGAATTATGCAACATATGGAAAACAACCTGATAACAGGTAAGTGATCAGTACTGAAATATAGCATTTGCATGTTTGAAGTATGTTTGCTATCTCCCTTGCAAAAAGGATTCAGAGAGTGCAGATCTGAATATGAAGCTTTGCTGGACCAGATCAGCACTGAGCAAAATAGCATAGGCAGCTCTATGGCTAGTAATGCTAAGCAACTGAAACCCATAACTAAGAAAGGAGGTTGCTCTAGTGTGTAATAAAATATAGTGGAAAGGCTAAGGATACACTATACATGGATCACAAAGTGGTTCACATATATAAATATATATAATTTATGTAATGTCATAAATGTCTCTAGTTCTTCACAGTGCCATACAGTGAATTAATGGCGGAGACAGGAGGAGACTTTGAAGATCAGTCCTGTGCCTTTTGTGGGCTGTCTCCATAACCTTTAAACTATTCCTATTCTAAATCTGACAACCCACCTATGCAGTAGCATAGGAAAGAAAGACAAGGCATCCTGTTTCCATGCAGATGTGATCTGTCAAACACTTTAAGAATTCTAGGATTTAAAATATGACACTGCACCTAAGAGCAGGTTCTTAACTTTAAGCATGTATAGTACCCCTGACTTCAATGGGGTTACATGTGTATAATATTCATAGCACCAGGGCCTGTAATTGATACCTTACAATTAAGGGTTAATAAATTGGAAACTAGCACATCTAGAAATAAGCTGTCCACAAGTGGATAGGGATCCTCTGAGAATCTAAAACACTGTGTACAGAGTATAGTTATCAAAGTATTTTTAATTCACTTAGTTTTGTAGAAGAGTTCAGTTATAAAACAAACATGAACAGAAGTTAAATAAATAAAAATAATTGCGATGAAAATAGTTACGTTTGGAATGTTCTCTTGTAGTACTAGAAACCCAAACACAATGACAGGAACCAATTTATTAGAATTGGGGAGAGAGTGAATTATCCACAAATAAAAAGTGAAATTGAGCAGTCTGGTTTTGCTGCTCCAACTGAGTGGAAAAATAATAGCAGCAGAGACCAGTAAAAATAAACATTTGAAAATACTCTCTTAGACATCCCAGTTGAAAACTTCAAAAGTTTTTGTTTGTATCTCTGGGTATAATTTCAAATATTGCCAGATACCTGGCTTTATAACATTCTGTTGGTTTTACCACCGTTCCTAAAATGTATTCTTTGTCTTCAGTCCAGAATACTCGCTTTTTGTGGGAGATTTGACCCCAGATGTGGATGATGGCATGCTATATGAGTTTTTTGTTAAAGTTTACCCATCGTGTAGAGGTGGTAAAGTTGTCTTGGACCAATCGGGAGTTTCCAAGTAAGTTTTCCTATATGTTTCCTCTCTCCTACTTTATATGCTACGAAAACAGGAAAATATGCCATCTCTCAACTCTGAAACTTTTCTTCTGTTAAAGGGAAGAGGGCCAATGCGGCAAGGGAAAAGGAATAATCCAACTAGTTTTGCTTATGACTTAGCAAAATCAGAACTCAGGACTGAATTTTCTATATTAAATACTCAGCATGTGGGATCATTGCTATCCACAGTGATTTTTTTGCTGTTCTGTTGGCTTTAGGCTGTGCATCTGTTATATTAAAAATATGTTTTATTGTCTGTGTGGGTTTTCAGAAGCACATAGGTGATGTGCGGGCACCGGTCCCTTTTGAAATGTGCTCTTAAATTCTTTAGGTGTTTGTGAATATTTTCTGAATGTTTTATGGTTTGGGGTAGAGGTCAGGCACCAAACAAAACATTGTCTAAACCCTTTGTAGCCCAACCCCCATCTTCAGACTCTGGAACTGGCCCAGCCAAATCCAGACTTCAGAAATCTTTTCTCTTGACATAAGTAAACATGCTTCCAAAATACACTATTCTCTCTTCTGTTATATATTCTTCATAAAGGGGCCCTTTGCTCAGTCTCCTTGTTTAAAAGCAAAACATAACTGGGGGAAGTGAGTGCCCTGGTTTTATGCCAAGAAGAGTGCTGTGGTCAGACTCTTTCTCTTCGTTTTTTTCCCCTAGCTGTGAAACCTCTCTATCTTCTCACATGAGGGTCTGATCTACAGAGTTGCAGTGGTTTTGCTAAAGGTGTGATTTTTAAACTGATTTGTGCCATTTTGCACGTGAACACTTTCATTGATTTTAAACTTGGCTTATGCTTGTTTAGTTTGCCCTTTGTATGTTTGCAGGAAGCAAGCTAAACCAGTATGACCAGTTTTAAACAGAAATGTGTGTTCACACAGGGGGTTTAACAACTTCAGTTTTTGTGTAGAAAAGCCCAAGCTCTGACTTGGGGCTTGTCTACATGGCGGGGAAAGTTAATGTGCAGAAGCTGGATATGAATTTAGAACATACTAGTTGAGCATTTGAAACTCTCGTGCATGGTAGTTTATTCCACTTTTAAAGTGCAGCAAGTTACCATGCACTTAGTGCACGCTAAGTGTCCACATAGGGAGTTAGCATGAAATAGTTGGTGCTATAAATTTACACCACACACAGACCTCTTCATATAGATCAGCCTTTTTCTTCCTTACCTCCTCTTTCCACCTGGATGGACTCTGTTCTCCTCCCACTCCTAAGTCCTTGAACTTTCTGCTTTGTGAGGCATCTTATCCCATCTCAAGAGTCTGCCATTACTCAGTTGTGCTCTGCTGTATTCTCTGACTTACTGCAGTGTCTGGTCCCACTTCAAGACCTTTTCTTCAGCAGGAAATATTTTTTCTCTCCATTTTCTACCATTGCTGACACAAGTTCAGTTCCACTATGTTTAGCAATATTGACAGGGCTGGTATTGAAGGGCTGCCAGCTGGTTGCCACTGTTGTTCAAGTAATAGTGTCCAGAGCAGATCCAGTCAATCTTTACCAATGCCTGAGGACTCAGGTTGGTGTCTGCCTTCTATCTTTCCCTTGTGTTTGACCCCTGGTTCAAGCTGTCAGTTCCAGCACATTGCATGTTACTTCCATAAAGGTCCCCAAAAATCCATTGGCACAAGATGTACAATATTGTTCTAATGCCTCTGAGCATACTACAGATGTTAAGACATGAAACACCTTAAAACGCAAATATAAACGGGTTAGAATAGGGAATTATTTAATGCCTACTGGAAACATGGCCAGACTTTCACTTCAGTCATTTCACTAGCAAAACATTTTCCTAAGTCTGTTTCATTCTCTGTAGAGCATTTCTTACAAAATTTATGTGCCTTTTGCCAGAGTATAATACATTCCGTGTCATATCTTTGCAGAGGCTACGGGTTTGTGAAGTTCACAGATGAACTGGAACAGAAGAGAGCCCTGACAGAATGCCAGGGAGCTGTGGGGTTGGGCTCCAAACCTATACGTTTGAGCGTAGCCATACCAAAAGCGTGAGTGTGCTTTTAAAATAATAATAATAATAATTCTTACAAAAATAATTCGTATTTTTATATTTATCTTCAGTGGTTGTTGACAGAGTAGAATCTCTTTAGTTAATATAACTGACTCTCTTAATTTGGTTTTGTAAACAGTTTAAAATTTGCTTTTAAAAAGAAATGATGTAAAGACAGTTGCAGTAATAAACGACATATGAATGTTGACATTAGTGTTACTAAATATTATTTTTATTAAATGTTGATTTTTGACTCTGTCTTCTAGTGATGAAAATCATATAGAACAAAGAAAACTGACCTTTCCACACCTGTTTGTGTAGAAATGCAGGAAAAAATAATCAAAGGCTCCTGTGAGCTTGCCAAGGAGTTTAGGTATAAAATTGGGGTGTGCAAAATGGGCCCTATTCAGTTCGGACTTGACCTAAATCAGGGACAGTGATTCTATTCGTTGATTTGGATCACTGTCCCTGATTTGATTCGGCTGAATCCAAATCTGAAGATTTGATGCTGATTCAGAGAATCAGCGTTACAGACACAGCTTTAAATGTTTTTTCTACATACCTCAAGGTACCAGGCACAGCTTGTGAACGCTGCGATGCTGGGGCGGATGGAACATCCCACAGGAGTGCAGGGGGTCCCCTGCATGGTTGGCGATGAACCCAGAAGTGGACCAGAAGTACTTCCAGTCCACTTCTGTGTCCTCTGGCGAACACACAGGGGAGGGGGGCCTGCCGGCTCAGCAGTCAGCCACGGGGAGGGACCCCGGGTGCCCCCCCAGGCCCAGGAGGCACCAGTTGCTGAACTGGGGGGGCATGGAGGAGCCCCCCAGCACACTCCCTAGTGGATCCAGAAGTGGACCAGAAATCCACTGTTCTGCTGCCAAGCGCACTGGGGAGCCCCCCGCACTCCTGTGGGACACTCCATGTGCCCCAGCATCGCAGCATTCGCGAGCCCCTGCTACCTAGAGGCATGTAGAAAAAACATTAAAAGCTGTGTCTGTCCAAATCGATTCGGAGGGTTCCTATTCAATTCAGACAGATTAAAGGGTCCTCTGATTTGATTCAGATTCAGAGATTCGGCCACCGCATCGAATCAGCGACCGAAGCTTTGCACAGCTGTAGTATAAAACTCCTTTAAAAATATAAGCTTAATGCAGATAGGCATACCTGATTTTTTTTACTCTGTTACAAGTGTAATCCAGCATTAGACTATGATCTAGCAATTAGGCACCTATCCAGAGTGTTTTGGTACCTCTCTGTATGTAGAAATCTCAAAATTAACATAGGAATGACCATAAATATAAAAAACAGGCCCATTGTGCTAATGCAAGACAATCTAAAAAGTGAAACTCACCTGAAACTGATTATAAACAAAAGAAAATCTGATTAAATGGACCAGTCCAGTAACGTTTTGCAATCTGGGTGAAATAAAACAATCAAACAAAGCCTATGTGCATTTAAAAAAATAAATTGTAATCACAGCCTTTAGGAAGAAGTTCTTGGCTTTTTTTAAATGATTTTTGACCTGGCTGTGTCCACTTCCATTAAAACATGGAATAGTCTCATCTTGCTCATTTGACTTCTAGATAAAACTTGATCACCTACCTATTCCAATGCAGTGATAAATGGAGCTTAACCCTTTGGAGCAAAGGTAAACATTTTGCTCTGTGTTTATACAGGACCTGGCACAATGGGGTCCTGCTCTATGACTTAAGCTCATGCTATCTATGGTAGGACAAATAATAAATAATTGTTCAGCCTTTTACCAATACTCAAGATTTTCAGTGTTCTCAAATTTTTAATGGAAGGGGGGTAGGGATTACACTGTAGTCAAAAGATAGTTTGTTTGATCTTTGGCCTAGTTCTCTTTAATTTCCTAAATGAACATGGTGTTCTATGTGAAATAATATTTCCATTTTCAAGGTATATATGAGACTTCTCAACCTAAGCTGCATTACTCAGAGGGGAATCAGCGACTTAGAAGCATTTTCATTATATGATGCACAGAATTTGGTAGATTCCATTGGTAGACCATTTGAAAATTACCACTTTTATTTCTAAAGACTTTTTAACCCCAGAAATGCTTTAAATTAAATGTATATAACAGCACTGAAGTTAACCCATCTCTCAGAGGGAGGAGTCAACCAGTTGTCATACAGCCTTCTGTCTGGGGAGGGGAAATTTTGTACATTACTTAGGGTATATGTCTATTTTGCAAAGCTATAAACTATCTCACACCTTCATACAGTACACGGAGCTTCTGCTTTCAAAATCCAACACTATATTGTAGCAAGTTATGTAATATCCAATGTATCTACTTTATTAGAAGAAAAAAAGGGATAAATCCACTCAGTTAGTACTTGAATCATGGATTCCAATGAGTCTAGATAGTCCTAAACTGATGTTTATACTTCAGAGCCGTACTCTCCCATTGTCCACATAGTGGGATTGAAAGGCTCCCATAGGAAGAAAGTAAAGCATAAAAATAGTGGGAGCAGGAATGGAGCTGGAAAGCCACCCACCCACCTTCTTCTATAGCATATGTTAATAACAGAAACAGACATGCATATATAGTGCACAGGATATTTGATGAACTCTGAAATCTGCAGTATTGAAATGAGCGTCATGTTGATTAAGCCAGATCCTATCCTTCCTTTTTTTTTCTTAACTATTCTGCATCTTTTGTAACTTTTTCCTTTTATTTGTTTTAAAGTAACCGTGTGAAGACGGCGGAGTACAATCAGATGTACAACTATAATTATAACCAATATTACCAACAATATCAGAACTACTATGCGCAGTGGGGATATGACCAGAACACAGGCAGTTACAGCTACAGCTACCCCCAGTATGGGTACACGCAGAGCACTATGCAGGTATGGGCATAGTAATAATATTTTATATGGCAGCAGTCTCTCACTGCAAAAATTGCAAAGCATTTCATAAACAAAGTGTAGATGTTTATTTTCCTCCTTTTTCCTGGATCCCTGGGTTGTATTTCTGTCATATGAGGAAGCAAAGCCGCCTAGCAAACAGCTAGCTTGTAGTTGTGATTTCTTACTGCATGTGGGTAGAGATCTACTAAAATTGCTTTATGCCAGTTATAAAAAGGTCAGAGAGGTATAACGAGACTCTAGAATCCCCAGTTCTGGCTGGGGGAGGATTGCCCAGGTACAGATACTGTGAATGGCAGCTGCAGGGCTGCTTTGTGAGGATTCAAAAGCCCTGCAGATAGAGGGGACTCCAAAGGAATGGGCCACCACATGCAGTACTTCTCAGATTGCAGGAAGTGCTGCTTTGCTTAGAGATCTAGCATGGAATCTCACCCCTGAAGACTCCTAGTGATGGACCCCAGCTTTGGATACTAAGGAGTCTTTCATCCATGGGTGAAAGGTTACAGTGCATGGCAGCAGTGACATGCAGGTGACATCTTTGGATGCGATTAAATGTTTATAGCCCTGAAGCTATTTTTGTTGTCTTTCCAGACGTATGAAGAAGTTGGTGAGGATGCACTGGAAGGTAAATATCTTTAATTCTCTATTGCAATTGTCTCTTTCCATTATGCTGATACTTTCATGGATTAGCCAAAGTACCAGTATTTTCTGAGTTAATTTGGGGTCTTCTGAAGTTTTAGGTTAAGAATGTGGGCAGTGCTATGCCAGTTTCCCTGTGAAATTCTTATTCCTCATCCTAATTCCAGTTCTAGTCTTATGCCTTCCCAAGGGAGAGAGACATCGGCTTCACTAGCATTGAGAGGATTATATGGACTACTGCTTATGTCCTTCTGTCCCTGAAAATAACTAGTGTAAAGCTTGTGGTGATCTTCTTTCTTGCTAGGAAATTTGGTCGTCACACCAGATGACAAAGCCAACATATTTAACGATTTCTTTGCCTCCATTTTCCTAAGCAGGGACTGGAACAGTCACCCCCCTCTGGGCCCCCCTTAGATCCCAGGGGAGGTGCACCTAGGCCAAGGGTTAGTGAGGAGCTAGTTAGGGAACTTCTGGAGGGACTGGACATATTTAAATCAGCTGGTCTGGACGATCTCCACCCTAGAGTACTGAGGGAATTGGCTGAGGTCATTGTGGGACCCCTGGCATGGCT